AAAAATTTGTGAACATGGACATCTTTATGATTGAGAGAATCCATAGCTTTCATCGGATTCCCAAAGAGGTGTTTGACCTTGTAGATGTTAAGAACCACTCTAGAGTATAAGATGATGGCAGTACTCAGCAGAGAGTGTGTTCTATTGCCTTGCTACATGAAGTGTGGTCCTAAGAGAGCATCAGCAGCGTCACCTGGGGGGTTTGTTAGAAATAAGGAATCTCAGTATCCACCCCAGGCCTACTGAATCAAAATCTGCATTTTAACAAGATTGCTAAGTGATTCATGTGCATATGAAAATTTGAGAACCTCTTTCTAGTAGTCAGAGCCCTGGTGGTGCAGTAGTTAAGAACTATGGCTGCTAACAAAAGGTCGGCATTTCGAATCTGCTAACCAAAAGGCTGGCAGTTCAAATCCCCCAGGCGCTCCTTGGAAACTGTATGAGACAGTTCTACTCTGTCCTGTAGGGTCCCTATGAGTCGGAATCTACTCCATGACAATGGGTTTGATTGCTAGTGGTCAAGGGCTCAGGCCTTGTGTTCTGAATTTGACTCTGCTCAAAACTAATGTCCTGAGTTTGAGTAAATTACTGAATGTTGCTGTGCCTTTGTTTTATCATCTGTAAAATGGGGATAATTATAATGCATACCTCATGGGGTTATAATGTGAAATAATGAGGAACTACATGTAAAGTGCTTAGAAGAATGCCTCTCACAGAGTAAGCTCTCAATTCGTGTTCATTATTCCTAGTATGATTATCACTGCTGAAGCTTGGGGTGAGAAAGAAGAAAGGGAAATTGGGAGATAATAGTGGAACCACATTTGCTTCTGCCTAGGAAAAGAGGACAAAAAACCACCAAAGTTTGCTTGGGGTACACTGATGTTCATCTAAAAAGATGGGAAGGCATTTGGATAGATGTCTTGGCAAGTTCTTTAGTTAAAGCCACAAGTGGTGTAGGCTTTCTATGAGCTCCTTTCAAGCCCTATCACAGAGAGTTAATGACAGCATTTCTTCTTTGCACAGTCTTTTTTTTTTTTTTCTGTCTTATCTATTCATGGAAAGATTTGGTCAAAACAACAGGGTTAGGCCTTTGGAATCATAAAATACTGATTCATTAAAAGGAATTAACGTGAGTCACTAAATTTTATCTGCTTCACTTCCTTACTTGCACAATGTTCACCTCCCTGATTGTCAGGAACTGATTTGAGGCTCTTAAAAAACCAAAAAACCAAACCTGTTGCCATCGAGTCGATTCCAACACATAGTGACCAGAGTAGAACTGCCCCATAAGGTTTCCAAGGAGCAGCTGGTGGATTCAAACTGCCAACCTTTTTTGTTAGCAGTATAGCTCTTAACCACTGCGCCAGCAGGGCTCCTTCAGGGTCTTAGTACTACCTAAAATGATAAATGCATCCATAATACACAAGCATAACAAAGCTCTTTTGTAATATTTGGATTTTTAATATTGCATGTTGTATAACATTATACTGAACGCAGAGTGAGGATGCTTGGGCTCAAGTGGTGAGTTTGACAACCATCAATTGCTGAATTTGGTTAAATCATTAAGCCTGCACGAGTCTCTATTTCTTCATCTGTAAGATAAAGGAGTATACTAGCCCTCTGTTAGGTCTAAATTCTGAAGTTTACCTTTTGTTCCCCACACAGGTGTTTTGTCACCACTCTCCTTCTATTGAATCCTAAGCTTTTGTCAAGACTCACCAAATACCTTCTAACCCCAGAAGCCCACAGAGGTTTCTTTCTTCTTTGAACTATCATGCTTTCTGTACCATTCAATCTATCACTTTATTCTGTGCTGTATTTTTCTCAAATTGTTTGATGTACGTGTCTTTTTTTAAGGTCCAATGCTGTGTCCATTTCTGCTCCTATTACCCTTATCACAGGACAGGGCACATAGTATATGCACAATAAATCTTTGAAGATTGAATGCCATGTTTTGAGAGAGGATACCTATAAGAGACACATTGAATAGTCTCAATCTTATTAATTTAGTTTTACATTGGTCATGTTAAGCTACATACTTCATAGTGAGATAGATATGAAATATGCTAAATCAAGCTATTCACAAAATTCCAGTATCTACTCTTAAATAAATGAATCCCAGTTGCTTTCAGAAGCAATCTAACGGGCCAGAGGAAAAGATATGTATTGAGCTCTCCTTCTGCCTCTCAGAATTTCCTTGATTTTAGTAATTATTTAGAATGATTTTTTTAAAGTAAATTAAGGTTTTTCACCAAAATAGGAAACCTACATTTTTTTTTTTTTTTTTACTGTGCTTTAGATGAAGGTTTACAGAGCAAACTAGTTTCTCGTTAAACAAATATATTGTTTTGTAACATTGGTTGCCAACCCCACAATGTGTCAACACTCTCCCCTTCTCAACCTGGGGTTCCCCACTTCCATTTGTCCAGCTTTCCTGTCCCCTCTTGCCTTCTTGTCCTTGCCCCTGGGCTGGTGTGCCCATTTAGTCTCATATACGTGGTTGAGCTATGTGTATTATTGTTTGTTTTATGGGCCTGTCTAATCTTTGGCTGAAGGGTGAACCTCAGGAGTTACTTCAGTACTGAGTTAAAAGGGTGTCCAGGGGCCATACTCTTGAGGTTTCTCCAGTCTCTGTCAGACCAATAAGTCTGGTCTTTTTTTGTGAGTTATAATTTTGTTCTACATTTTTCTCTAGCTCTGTCTGGAACCCTCTATTGTGATCCCTGTCAGAGCAGTCAGTGGTGGTAGCCGGGCACCATCTAGTTGTGCTGGACTCAGTCTGGTGGAGGCTGTGGTAGTTGTTGTCCATTAGTCCTTTGGACTAATCTTTCCCTTGTGTCTTTAGTTTTCTTCATTCTCTCTGGGTACAGATGGGATGGGACCAGTGGAATATCTTAGATGGCCGCTCACAAGCTTTTAAGACCCCAGACACTACTTACCAAAGTAGGATGTAGAACATTTTCTTTACAAACTGTATTATGCCGATCGAGCTTGATGTTCCCTGAGACTATGGTCCCCAGCGCTCAGCCCAGTAGTGTTGTCTCTCAGGCAGTTTGGATGTGTCTATGAAGCTTCTGTGACTTTGCCTTGGTCAAGTTGTACTGGTTTCCCTAATGTTGTGTACTGTCTTACCCTTCACCAAAATTACCACTTATCTGTTGTCTAGTTAGTGTTTTTCCCTCCCCACACTTCCCTCCCCTTTCTCATAAGCAACAAAGATTGTTTCTTTCTGTGTGTAAACCTTTTCTCGAGTTTTTATAATAGTGGTCTCATACCGTATTTGTCCTTTTGTGATTGACTTAATTTCACTCAGCATAATGCCCTCCAGATTCATCCATATTGTGAGATGTTTCCCAGAGTCATCATTGTTCTTTATTGTTGCACAGTATTCCATTGTGTGTATGTACCATAGTTTGTTTCTCCATTCATCTGTTGATGGGCACCTGTTTTTTACTCTGTACTGAAGGACGCTTTATTTTCATTGGGTAAATTTCCTGCTCTTTTTTAAAAAGAACTTACAAATACTTTTCTACACAGTTGCCTGTTGAAAACTGTGAAGGGTCTGAGTTTTTATACTATTTTCAAGTTAACTATTAACAAGTTAGCTTGCTATTTCCATCACAATCAGTAATACAAATACTGTGATGCTTGTTAGGAGACAGAAAAGCATCATAAAGGGACAGAGGACACGAGACTCCTGTGTCAAAGGAAAAGGAGTTTATTACTCATATCATAATAAACAGCATGAGGATCAGCACATTTGTGTCTGTTCCCCTTGCCCCCAAGTCCCACAGAGACAATGCAGATGGGCCCAAATGGAGACCTTCACACACAATGAGTTACATTACAGGAGATGAACTTTCAGTTTAGGGAACCTAAATTTTTATAGTGGGCAGAAAATGTGCCTGTCATTTACTCCAGAGAAAGACATTATTATTCTGGACAGTAAGCATGCTTGCCCTTTGCTCCAAAGGGAAAGACTATCTCTATGTTCCAAGGCTGTTTGCTATGCAAGCATTCTTGTAAAGATACTCTGGAACAAAGAGCAGTCAGTGCTTAGCTTCACAAGAAGTGCAAAAATGCTAGACTTCCATTGAAAATAGAAGAATGCCACTCTTGACTTTATGTAATAAGCAGGTCAAAACTATGTCTAAGAGCTGTTCTATTATTCTATTAAAGCAACTTTTCTTAAGCTGTACAAAGCTGCAACATCCCTCCGTGTGGGAGGCAGGACGTCAAATCGTTCAACTGTGGGGCACAAATCATTATCTGAGAAAAATGTAAAAGAGAACTTTCACTAACCATGGAGGGCAGAGTGGTTTGAAGTTAGTGAAAAGAGCAGCTATGGCAACTTACCTGACAGGAATGGAAAGATCCTCCTGACAAAAGACAGCAGGATTGTTATCCTCGCTTGGGAAGAGGGATTTTGCTCAACAACATCTGGTACTGGGCCATGGGGGAATGCAGGAGCAGTCATTTCAACCTGAGTCTCTAATAGCTTTTATGACTCTTGGCAGGGAGTTGAGTCCTGGCCATCCCACTCTCAAACATTCTAGGCCAGTCAACCGTTTTAATAAACTATGGTTCAGGCATGAGCTGGACCTTTGGTGGACAGCAGATGGCAGGAAAGCCTCTGTTTGCCTGCACCAGGCCCAAGAGGAAGAACCCAAGAATTTGGCCAATTACTCATCTTACATCTCCAAAACCCGTATGACTATTGTGATTAATAATGTTTCCTGCTTTGTGTTCCAATTAAAAAAAAATACAAGTATCCCTAGAGTGGGAGAAAAGTCTGAATGCAAAATTTCCTGTAAATTCTCACCGTAGGGTTTTTGGTGGGAGGTGGACGAAAGAGTTAGTGAGGTGTTTTCTAAGGGTTGGGTTATGTCATCATAATCTGAGTTTGATTTTTAACTTTACCTATTAAAACAGCTCTATTTTGCTAATACCGTGCAAGACATCAACTAACATTTGTTTTCCTCTTTTAAATTTTTTATCAGTTGCTTACAGCGCATCTTTAGATGCTATCATTTCCAGTACAACCAGCAATACAAATACTGTGGTGCTGGCTTGGAGAGAGAAATCAAAAAAGCATCTTAAAATGACATCCTTCAACATTGCACAGGGCATTCATGCTTTTGATTACCACTCTCAGCTCAATTTAATTGGTATGTAAAATAAATCATGATAACTATGAGGGCCTCATAAGTAGTCTGGAATGCATATTTGTATGCATGGAGCCTCTCCCCCTTGTTGCTTTATTGCTAGAGAGAGCAACATGAGCAGTTCACATTTTATTGCCTGAGAATGTCTGATAATGATGCATTATGATGTGTGGTGTATATGAATTTCTTCAGGGTAAAAATATGAGAAAGTGCCCTCTTGCTTTAATGAGTCTTTTTATTAGAATTGGTGGGGGTATAAAATAGTATAGAGAAAGAAGACAGTTTGTGCAGCATCTGCCGTCCTGCCATCTTCCTAACACCACCAAATGCTCAGCCCAAACAAATACATCATTTTTATTGCTAACACCCACACCCACACACACATTCACTCACACACGAACACATAAACAATAGAGAGCTGTAAGATGTAGAATGGTTTTCAATCACCATTCAGAATATACCCTCTAACGCTTTTTGAAAAATTTTAATGTACCTTAGCTTTAGTTTACTAGAGGGGAATTCTTTTGATGCAAAAGGGTATGTTTTAATTGAGGGAATATAAAGATTTGTTAGCATTAAGTATTTAAATAAAAAATTTAGACATTTTGAAGACTGATAAATTGGTATGTGTGATATTATTTCCAACATTATGAAAATTGAGGTGTAGATGTATTACTGAAAATTTAAAAGAATAGGCAAGGAGAACATACATGGCCTACGGAATGGGTCATATTCACCCTCATTCAATAATTATCATTCATGTACACAGTATTGATATCAGCGAGGGAGCTGGGTCCCTAAAATTGCCAACAATAATAGCTGGTGATCATGGTAAAAGATGCCTTGAATATGGACTCAGGAATATGCCAACATCAAAGTTTCAAGGAGTATCGTAGATTTATTAGAGAAAGCTGGAGGGGTTGGTGAACTGAGTTGGCAAGGACCCAGATATTAACCATTTCATTGATTGATTGATTAATTCTTTCAATCCCTGTATATTGGGCAGTACTTTGTACCTATTATAGTGCTGGAAAATAAGAGTGAATAAGCTGAGCTCCACAGTCTGCCTCCAAATAGGGAACAACAAAGAGTGCTATACTGAATTTCCACAAACTTGGAACAGCACTATACTCTCTGCTCTTGAAAGACTCTAAGAATATAACCAATTCCTGTTTCAAAATACCTTATTCTCTCAATACAGCTGGTCAAAAGTGTATTTTTGCTGCTTGCTTTCTCATAAATGGTTGATTATTTACATGGAAGGGAAAATCACTCGTTTCTTTATATTTTTAAATGAATTTGGGAACTGTAAATATTGTTTTAGTTCTTTCTTCCTCCTGGCATAACATTAACACTGTCCACATTCCTAGGCTGTACAGGTTAGAGAGGGGAAACAAAAGAATTGGGAAGGAGGATTCTGTCCCTTCCTAGTTATGCTGCTGGTCACCTTCTGAATACGGCTGTAGTCTTCCTCACCTCATGTGTACCTCACCCTCCATGCTTCCTCCATTTTAGCAGTTTCCATTGACAGACACATCCCTGTTAGCCTGGGCTACTTGGACAATGACAAAAGACTTTTCTTTCTCCAAGACAGGGTACGCGAATGTTCACCAGAAGATACAGATAGATCTACAGATAGATGATAAACTAATTTTAAAAATAAAATGTAGTTGGTTATTCATGTTATTAAAGACTTTTTTTCTTTCTAATTCTGACTAGCAACTGCTGGCATTAACAGTAAAGTTTGCCTTTGGAATCCCTATGTTGTCTCTAAGCCAGTTGGTGTCCTTTGGGGTCATTCTGCCAGTGTAATAGCCGTCCAGTTCTTTGCTGGAAGAAAACAACTTTTCAGCTTCTCCAAAGATAAAGTAAGTAACATTGTACCTTTAATTTTTTTAGTTCTGCTGCCCCAGTTCCTACTCAGATCTACAATGGGTCCTGAATTTCTCTGAGAAGTGGTGTGTATTTTAAAAATATACTATGTCTTTGGAAATATATGTTTGGAAAAGGTATTGATTAATGGATACTTAATAGTCCTCGGTAAATGAACAAAGTATTTCATTAAAACAGTTTTTTCAAACCATGTATTCTTGAATTTTATTATTATTATGATTACTGTGCTCTCTGTAAGTCACACCTTGTTAGTTTCTAAAGTTTTCACTAATTCAGTAGAAAAAAAAAGCAGAGATGGGAAGGAGGAAATGTTGATTTGGTAAGATTGAATAGGCACAGCCTGTTAGTTACTGTGGCTTTGATATTGAAAAGACTGAGTTAATTAGAAATCAAAGTTAATCTGAAGAATACCAAGAGCATTAAGATAATTTAAATGAAGTATTTTCAGTCCATTTCTATTTGATAGTATTGATACGGTGACAAGGACATGGCACTGGAACCTGATAGACCAGGTTGAATCCTGACCGCATTACTTCCTACCTATGTTCACTTAGTCACATTTCTTTTTCTTCTCTTATTTTGTTTTTTTATTTTTTGTGCTTTAGGTGAAAGTTTACAGAACAAATTAGTTTTTCATTAAACAATTAATACACAAATTGTTTTGTGACATTGGTTGTCAAATCTGCGATGTATCAACGCTCTCCCCTTCTCCACCCTGGGTTACCTGTTTCCACTGGTCCAGTTTTCCTGTCCTTCCTACCTTCTTGTCTTTGCTTGTGGGCTGGTGTGCCCATTTAGTCTCATATACATGATTGAACTACAATTCACATTCCTCATGTGTGTTATTGTTTGCCCTATAGACCTGTCTAATCTTTGCCTAAAGGGTGAACCTCGGGAGTGACTTCAGTACTGAGTTAAAAGCGTGTCCAGGGTCATACTCTTGAGATTTCTCCAGTCTCTGTCAGACTGGCAAGTCTGGTCTCCCTCGTTTTTTGAGAATTTGAATTTTGTTCTACATTTTTCTGCAGCTCTGTCCATGATCCTCTATTGTGATCCCTCTCAGAGGAGTTGAGGGTGGTAGCCAGGCACCATCTAGCTGTTCTGGGCTCTGTCTTGCGGAGGTTGTGGTAGTTGTGGTCCGTTAGTCCTTTGGACTAATCTTTTCTTTGTGTCTTTGGTTTTCTTCATTCTCCTTTGCTCCAGCTGGGATGGGACCAGTAGATGTATCTTAGATGGCCACTTGCAGGCTTTTAAGACCCCAGATGCTACTCACCACAGTCGAATGTAGAGCATTTTCTTTATAAACTATGTTATGCCAGTCGAGCTAGATGTCCCCCCGAGACAATGGTCCCCAGCCCTCAGTCCCGTAACTCAGTCCCTCAGGGAATTTCAATGTGTCTGTAAAGCTTGTATGACTTTGCGTTGGTCAAGTTGTGCTGATTTCCCCAGTATTGGGTACTTCCTTACCTCTCATCAAACTTAAACACGTATCTACTATCTAGTTAGTGTTTTTCCCTCCCCACCTCTCTCCTCCCTCGTAACCATCAAAGATTGTTTCTTTCTGTGTGTATACCTTTTCTTGAGTTTTTATAATAGTAGTCTCATACAGTATTTGTCCTTTTGTGATTGACTTAATTTCACTCAGCATAATGCCCTCCAGATTCATCCATGTTGTAAGATGTTTTGCAGATTCATCGTTGTTCTTTATCATTGTGTATTATCCCATTGTGTGAGTGTGCCATAGTTTATCTGTTCATCTGCTGATGGGCACTTAGATTGTTTCCATCTTTTTGCTGTTGTGAATAATGCTGCAATGAACATGGTTGTGCTTATGTCTGTTCATGTGATGGCTCTTATTTCTCTAGACTATATTCCTAGGAGTAGGATTGCTGGATCATATGGTATTTCTATTTCTAGCTTTTTAAGGAAGTGTCATATCGTTTTCCAAAATGGTTTTGCCATTTTACATTTACACCAGCAGTGCATAAGAGTTCCAATCTCCCTGCAACCTCTCCAACATTTGTTATTTTCTGTTTTTTTGATTAGTGCCAGTAATGTCAGGGTGAGATGGTATCTCACTGTAGTTTTGATTTGCATTTCTCTAATCGCTAATGATTGAGAGCATTTGCTCATGTGTCGGTTAGCCGTCTGAATGTTTTCTTTGGTGAAGTGTCTGTTCATATCCTTTACCCATTTTTTAACTGGATTATTTGTCTTTTTGTGGTAGAGGTGTTGGGTTTTCCTATAGATTTTAGAGATTAGAACTTTGTCGGATATGTCATAGCCAAAATTTTTTCTCCAGATTATAGGTTCTCTTTTTACTCTTCTAGTGAAGTCTTTTAATGAATATAAGTGTTTAGTTTTCAGAAGATCCCAGTTATCTAACTTATCTTCTGGTGTTTGTGTATTGTTAGTTATGGTTGTATCCTATTTATGCCATATATTACGGCCCCTAGCTTTGACCCTATTTTTCCTTCCATAATCTTTGTAGTTTTGGTTTTGTATTTAGGTCTTTGATCCATTTTGAATTAGTTTTTGTGTATGGTGTGAGGTATGGGTCCTGTTTCATTTTTTACAGATGGACATCCAGTTTTGCGAGCACCATTTGTTAAAATGACTGTCTTTTCCCCATTTAATGGACTTTGGGCATTTGTCAAAGATCAGGTGGCCGTAGGTAGATGGATTTACTTCTGGGTTCTTGATTTTGTTCCATTGGTCAATATGTCTGTCGTTGTACCAGTACCAGACTGTTTTGATTACCATAGCTGTATAGTAGTTTCTGAGGTCTGGTAATGCAAGGCCTCCTACTTTGTTCATTTTCAATAATACTTTACTTATCTGAGGCCTCTTTCCTTTCCGTATTAAGTTAATGATTAGTTTTTAGTTTTTCCATTTTGTTAAAGAATGTGTTGGTATTTACATTGTGATTGCATTGTATTTATAGATTGCTTTGGGTAGAATGGACATTTTCACAATGTTTAGTTTACCTATCCATGAGCATGGTCTGTTTTTCCATTTATGTAGGTCTCTTTTGGTTTCTTGAAGTAGTTTTTTATAGTTTCCTTTGTATAGGTCTTTTAGATTTATTCCTCTGTATTTTATTTTTTTAGGGGCTATTATAAATGGTATTGCTTTCCTGATTTCCTTTTCACAGTTCTCTCTCTCTTTAAGTATATATAACTTTGCTGCATTTTTTGTTTATTTATTTTTATTGTGCTTTAGATGAAGATTTACAGAGCAAATTAATTTCTTGTAGTTCTCATTATTGGTGTATAGGAATCCAACTGATTTTTGTATGTTTATCTTGTATCCTGCTACTCTACTGAATCTTTCTATTATTTCCAGTATTTTTCTTTTGGAGTCTTTAGGGTTCTCTATGTATAGTATTATATCATCCACAAGTAGGGATAGTTTTACTACTTCCTTACCAATTTAGGTGCTCTTTATTTCTTTTTCTTGCCTCATTACTCTGGCTAGGACTTCCAGCACGATGTTAAATAGGAGTGGTAATAAAGGTCATTCTTGTCTTGTTCCCATTCTCAGGGGGAATGTTTTCAGTCTTTCTCCGTTGAAAATGATATTGGCTGTTGGTTTTATATAGACACCCTCTATTATGTTGAGGAATTTCCCTCCTATTCCTATTTTATCAGAAATGGGATTTGGACTTTATCAAATGCCTTTTCTGGGTTGATTGAGATGATCATGTGATTCTGTTTTACTTACGTGGTGGATTACATTGCTTGATTTTCTAATGATGAACCATCCTTGCATGCCTGGTATGAATCCCACTTGGTCAGGGTATATTTTTTTTTATATGATGCTGAATTCTCTTGGCTAGAATTTTGTTGAGAATTTTTGCATCCATATTCATGAAAGATATTGGTCTGTAATTTTCTTTTTTTGTGGTGTCTTTGCCTAGTTTTGGTGTCAGGGTTATGTTGGCTTCATAGAATGAATTTGGAAGTTGTCATGGATTGAATTGTGTCCCCCATAAATACGTGTTTCAATTTGGCTAGGCCATGATTCCAAGTATTGTGTGATTGTCCACCATTTTGTCATCTGATGTGATTTCTCTATGTGTTATAAATCCTGTCTCTCTGATGTTGATGAGATGGGATTATCGGCAGTTATGTTAATGAGGCAGGACTCAATCTACAAGCTTGGACTGTGTCTTGAGCCAGTCTCTTTTGAGATATTAAAAGAAAGAAGTGAGCAGAGACTCATGAAGAAGCACTGGGAACATAGCACATTCTTTGGACTCAGGGATCCCTGCACTGAGAAGCTCTTAGTCCAGGGGAAGAAAGATGACAGGACCTTTTTCCAGGGATGACAGAGAGAGAAAGCCTTCCCCTAGAGCTAACACCCTGAATTTGGACTTCCAGCATACTAGACTGTGAAGAGAATAAAATTCTGTTTGTTGAAGCCATCGACTTGTGGTATTTCTGTTACAGAAGCACTAGATAACTAAGACAGAATTATCCCTTCCTTTTCTATGTTCTGAAGTAGTTTGAGTAGTACTGGTGTGAGCTCTCCTCTGAATGTTTGGTAGAATTCTCCAGTGAAGCCATCTGGGCCAGGCCTTTTTTTGTTGGGAGTTTTTTTTTTAATTACGTTTTCAATCTTTTCTCTTGTTATGTGTCTGTTCAGATTTTCTGCCTCTGTTTGTGTTGGTTTAGGTTAGTACTGTGTGTTTCTAGAAATTTATCCATTTCCTCTAGGTTTTCAAATTTGTTGGAGTATAGTTTTTCATAGTACTCTGTTATGATCCTTTTTATTTCAGTTGGATCTGTTGTAATGTCCCTCATTTCATTTCTTATTTGGGTTATTTACTTCTTCTGTTTTTCTTTTGTCAATTTGGCCAATGGTTTTTGATTTTGTTGATCCTTTCAAAGAAGCAACTTTTGGTTTTGTTCTTTCTATCGGTTTTCTATTCTCTATTTCATTTATTTCTGCTCTGATTTTTATTATTTCCTTT